GGACGTCCCATTAATACATAAACTTAGGAAGATAAATAAAACATTTATGGGTACATAAATTATCATACTTATCTTATCGCATGACTAGCAGAATATACGACCTACAACTGCGGAGTTATCTAGCAGATAAATACAAATAAGTTTTCATACATATTGTTAGTAAATAAATTAATTACTGAAATTAGAAGATTCTTTTCTAGCTATATCATGAAGGGAACAGAGCTTAACCGGGACAAAAGAAATCTATTTCCTAGAAAGGTTAAATAAATAGATGTGAGTTTAAAACGAATAATATTTATTGCACAACACATGCATTCACACGAATGTGTAAATATATCAATCTAGTCATCCGACTAGTTATATGCTCATGCAGTCAGTCACACAAATCGGGACAAAAGAAATCTATTCCTAAAAGGTTAAATAAAAGATGTGAGTTTAAACGAATTAATATTTATTGGCAACAACACATGCATTCACACGAATGTGTAAATATATCAAATCTTAAGTTCATCCGGACTAGTTGTTATATGCCTCATGCAGTCAGTCACCACAAATAGCACATCACCAGCACTCACAAATTATTAACATTCTTTCACATAATCCACATCAATTAACATCTTCACATAATCACATCACGTGGAAATTGGTCTGTAGCGTTACTGAAACCCACAATGAGCCGTCCTCACACATGGCCCACCCTCTCATAATGTGTGCACCAGGGAGCCGATCCTCCATATATGGCCGATCGGTCTAATCCTCACTTGACCGGCCCTCTCATTATTTTTCCATCCTCTCTTTTCTTTTCCATACCAATAGGAGGTACCCTGTGGTTTATTCATATTATCCATATCATGTCATCAAATGCACACAGGGTGCTGATCTCCCATATGGCCAACAGTCTCGTGGACCGCCCTTATAAACCCATGGTGACCCACTTCATTCCAACTCCACACAAACATGGCAAAACATTTTCACATCACAACTAATCAAGCATTGCAATTAATTAAATGCAGGCATAAGGAAATCAATTAATATCATGATGCCCATAGCACACTTTAGACATCCATATCAAAATGCAATAAATAAATTAAATTATTAACAATAAAATAACCCCAATGATAAAATAAAAAATAATAGTACTAAATAATAAATAAATGAAAAATAAATTAAAATTAATTGAATAATTAAATGAATGATAATGATAATTAAATAATAATTAATTAGGAGCACTTTATTTATTATATATCAAATTATATGAATTTATCTTAAAATAAGGCTTATTTATTATGTTTATTTAATTAAAAAACTGTTTAGGTTCTATCGAAATTTCGACAGAACCTCCCCTAGAAATATGACTATCTACCGTTTAAATATTCACATAAAATATGACTATCTACCTGTTTAAATATCACAATAATATTATATATATATCAATTAATACACACAGCCCATCCGTCGGGCAACTCACAACAATACATCCCATCTGCCATATCCATAATCACCAATCATACCCCATCCACCACCTTTGTAACTCAACATCCACTGAGCTCTTCCATCAACAAATAATCAACTCAATTTAACTCACATAAATAATAACTAAGAATTCTTATTTCCATTTCAAATCTTCTAATTATAATTATGGTTTATGTAATTTATTTGACAATATTCTAAACTAATTTGCAATTATATTATTCTAAAATCCTAAACCAATTAACTAAACATATCCAGCTATCGCAATTACCGCATACTAATCAATTTAATTTATTTACAAACTACTAAAAAAAATGTCTATATATATTTAGGCTATTTCAATAACCTAATTTCTTATTAATTTACTTAATTACTCAATTAAATTAATTAATTAATTAATTAATTCTTATATACAAAAAATTGAGAATTGAGTCTTAAAGCGTACCAATTGAAATTTGGGCGACAATTCCACGATCCTCGCGAAGAGAGGAAGATTCTGTCCCTTGGTGCCTCGCCGGAGGCTCGCAGGCTCGACCGGCGGCTCGCCGGAGGCTCGCCGGCCGGTCACCGGACCGCTGCCTCCACCGCCGTGCACGGTGGTCGGAAAGTCGTGGATGCCCAGAATTGAACCACGATCATACCATCTGACTCGAAATTCTCTAAAGAGTCCATTTCTGGTGTTAGTTTAGTACGACTGGACCTATAGTTGGCCGAAACGAGCTCGACAGTCGCCCCTCACCGCCATTCATGGTGGTTTCAACATTCGAGCTTCATTGTTGGATTTGACAGAGGGAAAACGGACCTCCGGGTGAGGAGAGTCGATCGATTCTCACCCTTCGCGTCAAAGCTATCGGAAACGGTGAGAAATCACTGGACACTGAAGAGCAGGGGCTGTCAATGAAAGCAGGCCTGATACGCATCAAAGAAGATAGCTTTTGCATGATTGGAGGCCGGAATCATGACCAGCCGCTCTAGATAAGTCGACCGCGACCTCGTTCTCGCCGGGCAGTGGCCGAAAACGGGTAGGGAGGGGAGAACGCACTGGCGCTGGCTCAAGGAAAGGAGAAGAAGAAAAGAAAAGAAAAAAAAAGGAAAGAAAGAAAAAATCTTGGAGCTTCTAGACCAATCCAGTTCGATTCGAATCAGTTTGGTCTAATTCAATGATTCGGCTCGATTTTTGCTCGATTTGCAGGTTTTTCACTTGTTTTTCAGATTATTCATGTGGTTTTCAAAAAATCAATTTGATTTCTGGGTCTGGTTCGATTTATTTTGATTATTTTAGTTAGGTTTCGTAACTTTTTCTCCATTTACTCAATAATAATAAAAATATTAATAGTAATGATATTTGATTTTAGGATAATTAATTTATATATATTCATTATCTTGATTATTTTAGTTAGAGGTTTCAACTCACCACGTATTTTCTCCTGCATTCTTTTATCCTTAATTTCAAAATGATATTTCAATAAAGATATTTGATCATTATAGATTTTTTAGCCGATAATATAAAACTCTCATAATATATATGTGTCATACCTATAGATTACATGATTGCTGGAGTTTCATATTATTTCTCGCTGAAAAGCTGTTTAAATCTCTGTTCTACATTTTAGGGTTTTATGCTTTAGCCTAACCTATAAATATGTTATTTTGTATCATTGGCACATTCATTATTCTTTGATCATTATTCATATCCAATAAACTTCATTGAGAGTTTAGTTATATAATTCTTTCGTCAGATCAAATGTTATTGAACAAAATTCCTGACGGAGTATAATCGTTATTCCCATTCACGTGACCGTTCTACGTCAATATCTCATCTCTTCTTCAAGTTATGGTCAATTTGTTTTTCAACCTTGGAGACATCATTTTGTCAACTCTTCATTTATTCTTTGTTAATTTAAGGGTACTTATGATCGTAGGTTATATTTGCCATCTAAAAGTATATCTTACTCTCACAACATTTATAAATGCATATTATGATGAACATGTAGATACTCGTTCTTCAACTAAGGATAATGTGTATTTTTAGGCGCTTCTCCCATTTCTTAGAAGTGTAATAAGCATGAAAGAATCTCTAAATCCTCTACAGGGCTTGAATATTGCTCTATGCCTTCTATTAGTTCTGAAATTATATGGCTCCAAAGACTTCTTAAAGAATTTCGTGTTATTTGCTCCTTACCTTCACCTTTTTGGAGACAACACTAGTGCTGTCAACATTGCCACTTATCCAATGCACTATGAAAGAACTAAATATATTGATGTGGATTGCCATTATATCAGTGAATTAGTTCAAGACCAAATTCTTCAACCAGTTCATGTCTCTTTTCATGATCAAATTGCTGACATTTACTAAACCAATGTCCTCTGCCCGTCGTGCATATCTTGCAAGCAAATTGATTCCTGCTAACAACTATCATCAATTTGAGGATGGATATTAAAGTGAGAAGATTTTGCCATCATGAATGTCAAACCACATATGACAATGAGAAGATCTTGTCATCAATTAGAAATGTCGAACTAGTTGAAATTCAAATGACTTTTTTAGATATTTTGGTCTAATAATATATTTCTACGTATATATACTTGACTAGTTAAATTACTTTGTATAGTCATTTATAGTCATTCATTTTCTAAGTGTGTATATATATAGATATGTATTATCAGTTGAAAGATATAAAATATATAAAAATCATTTTCTTCAAATTGATACTTACCTCTTCATGTCCTTGAATCCTTAACAATCTTGAATAATAAATCAAATTTGATAAAATTTTATAATGAATTTTTTATTAATTTTTAATTAAAAAATCAAAATTATTTTTAGTTTTACTTACTTTTTATCAAATCAATAAACTAAGGTCAAATGTGCTAAAAAAAAAAAGTTAAAATCAAATAGAACAAATTTATAAATGTATACCTATTAAATGTGCCAAATCCAACCATTGATTATAATGAATATATTTTGCAAAAACAAATGAAAGCTAAATCCTTTCTTTTAAATGAACAAATTTAACTCAACACGAGCTTTCTCATTTACAAGATTTCATATAGAAATCAATAACAAGATACTAAGAGAAAATAAAACAATATTAATAGAATTTTCAATGTAAACATATAATAGTAGAGGTTGATAAAGTTTTTATTACAAAAGTTTTTGTATATTGAAATAAAGAATAATTTTCCGAAAATAGTGAATATTAACCAATTAATAAAGAGTTTAAAAGTAAACGAAGAGAGGCAGCAAGGCCTTCCTTTCTAAGGGGAAAAAGAAACCGTTATGAGAAAAGAAAATACGTCCAAATATAGAATTTCCCAGTCAAAGGCAATCAGTCCTCTTTATTCACCTGTCATCTAACGTCCCCTTACTCATCAATAGGAATCTTCCACGTGTCAGAATTTTTCGACGTGGGATGTTCCCATTGTAGGTATAAAAATAATAACAAACATTTGGTTAAAATAGAAAAAAGAATACGAAAGCAGAAAAATAGGAGGAGCGAGTGGACAAACTGAATTTTAAAAGTGGAAGAGAGGGAAAAGGGTCCAAAAGGGAGAGAAGAAACAATTACAAAAAGAGAGGGTTGGGGGAGTGCTGGTGAGAGTTCTTGTAGGTAATTTTCTGGTGACGGATGGTTTGGTTCTCTCGCGCTCCCATTGCTATTCGTCTTCCCTGAATGCCTTAATCAGCGTTCGGGGTATATTTTTCTCTTCCTTTTATTTTCTGTTTGGCTGCTAAGAAAATTAATGAAAATTTTAGATCATACGAAGATAACAATGTCTTTATTGAACTTATTTACAATTTCGCTTCTTTCTTATTCAGAAAATTTTGGCGATTTACGTGAGGAGAAGCGAGGGATTCATTGGTGATGTATGCAATTTCTTGTCTTGCTTTCTCGTTTTTCTTTTCTCTTTTTAGGCTAATATGAATATAATATTAGTCTTTATTATTTTCCAGGTGAAGATCGATTCAAAAGAAATGGTATTTGTGGGACTATATTCTGTGGGTTGTACTTGAGTTAGTAAAAGAAATGAATTCAAGGCTTGATGTTTACCACCATAATGCTATTGTTGGGTAAGAATGCTATAATATATTTTGCTCCTTTCTTTTCCTTTTACTTCTTTAATTTAGTGTTGTTTAGAAAGATGCATTTTTCTATGTTTAAATTATATAAAAAAATTTTCAAGTAATTTGAACTCATGCATGCCTTGTGAATGTTTGTAGAAATGTGATATCTGATATCCCATGGAAGACTAGACCTCAAGGGATATTCCTATAAGAAGTGCACTACTGCCATTCTCTTGCGCAGTAGTTTAATTCTTCAAAAATGGCGGTAGTCATAGATCATCATCATGGATTCAAGCCATTTAACCGATGTCAGAGATGCAGGCTCCAATCCTTTACTCAATTTGATTACAACATTCTTGAACTTGGCCAAACCAATCTTACCCATTCTTTAAAACAAGCATTTGAAGTTGCCAATATTCACAGAAGCTTCTCCTCTCCGTGCTTCCCCCTAGCCACAAGATTTGAAGAAGAGTTTGATGGCAATCCAAGAATTGAGATTGTTGGTGGCCATGGGGCACCTAGAGTGCGAGCCCTAGTTGTTGAGGTTGCCATAGCTATGGCCTCTGGTATTAATCCCTTACCTTTGTCAAGTGGACTAGGTGGTGCTCACTTGTTGCGAAGCAAAACTGGTGATAATATTGCAGTAGCAAAGCCAATTGATGAAGAAGCTTTAGCTTTGAACAATCCTAAAGGCTTTGGTGGATTAATGCTAGGCCAACCTGGCGTGAAACGTTCTGTTCGAGTGGGTGGAACTGGAATTCGTGAAGTAGCTGCTTATCTTCTTGATCATGGTGGTTTTGCTGGTGTTCCTCCAACAGCGCTAGTGAAAATCGCTAGTCCTGTTCAATTCAATGTTAATAACGGTACAACTAAGTATAAGATTGCCTCACTCCAACGATTTGTACATCATGACTTTGATGCAGGGGAATTAGGCCCTTCTGGCTTCTCAGTTGCTTCAGTGCATCGAATTGGAATATTTGATGTAAGACTCTTAAATCTTGATAGGCATGCTGGAAATATACTTGTCAAGAAGAACGATGAACGCGATAATTATTCAATTGGGGCAGCTGAGCTTGTGCCTATAGACCATGGACTTTGTCTACCTGAATGGCTTGATGATCCTTATTTTGAATGGTTGCATTGGCCTCAAGCCTCAGTTCCCTTTTCAGAGATAGAACTTGACTATATATCCAATCTTGATCCTTTTAAAGATGCACAGCTCTTAAGGACTGAGCTTCCTTCTTTAGAGGAATCATCCATCCGTATTCTCATCCTTTGCACAATTTTCCTGAAGCAAGCTGCTTCTAAGGGGCTTTGCCTTGCTGATATAGGGGAAATGATGACTAGGGAGTTTTGCAGTGAAGAGAAAAATTTGAGTGAGCTAGAGAATCTTTGTGCAAAAGCAAAGGCATATGCGGTTAAGGCATCTGATGATGAAGATGATGGTAAAAAGAAAAATGAGCAAATTAGTATGAAGGAAAAGGAAGGTGTTGATATATTTGAATTCAATTGTGGAAATGGAAATGCTTCTGAAAAGGTTTTGGATATCCCTCAACTCTTACAATGTCCTCCTAGCATGGCTAAAGTTCCAAGATTTTCATCTGTAAGATCGATGCCTAGGTTGCACGATTCATCGACATTATCTCCAATGTACTCGGAAAATAACCATGATGATAATTGCAGTGACAACACAAAGATCAAGGAAGACAATGGGCGGTTGACAAGGAGCACTAGTTGCTCGGCACAAAATTGCAAGTGGGAAAATCAAGGCATTTCTCTCGGGGACATGAGTGGAGAAGAATGGGAATTGTTCTTAGAGTGCTTTCAGAAGCTTTTGCCAAAAGTGTTTCAAGGCACCAAATGCATGGCCTCCAAGCAAAGGTTGGGAACTTCTGGCAAGTTCTAAACAAGTAAGAATGCTTCCAAAGAAACAACATAAATTGAACCAGTGATTAAAGACAAATAGTTGCTTGTATCTAGTTTTGGAGTGATTTTGCATATTGTCCCTATCAAGTTTTAGTATATTAGTATATGCAATACATAATAGATAAACACAAAAGAAGGAAAAGGGACCGGCAGGTTGTTATCCTTTCCATTTCTTTTTCTGTATATTCTTTTTTATTATTTTTATTAATTATTGGATTATACAACAGGTTTGCATGGACATATTTGTAAGAAAAGAATTATATCATCCAAAATGTGAATACTGTTTATTATGTGCAATTAATTTTAGTAGATAATACTTACATGGATGTGTAAGTTAATGCTACCTAAGTAGAGGGATGAATTTCACTAGTGATGACTGAAGTTATGCTTATTATGCTCTCTCTCTCTCTCTCTCTCTCTCTCTCATCTGCATTTTAACCTTGTGCGCTTTTTTATAATCGTTTATATCTTTCTAAATCTCATTGATGCCATTAAATTGCTCTTGTAGAGATTAATTAAAGAGCTTGTTTTAATTAACTGCACAGTAAGAAAATATTAGGATTTATTTTCATGGCTGATTTTTTCAATGCAAATGATTTTTATCGATTATATCAATGATTAATCACAAATGGTTCACGCATTGCAGCAAGTGTATTGTTTTGTTAATTTTACTTTATAATCATTCAATACTTAATCAGATTTTATATAATTTTTTATATATAGATAACTTAGGTATTTACAAAAATACTAAAAATTAGTTAATTATATATATACCTACCATATAATTATTACGAACATAATTTTTATTATTTTTAACAAATTAAATTCACAATTTGGTATTTTAATTCAATTTCAAAGATAATTAATATTGATAATTATACAAAAGATAAATGATGCAAAAAATATGCTTTAGAAAATATTATTATTTTGTTCAATTTATATATATGTTTTAAATTTTAAAAATTACGTTTTTATTGAGAATGAGAGCTAATTGCTTGTTGTTTTTTTTGTGAAAAGAGAAAATTATTTCACTGTTATATTTATTAACTATCTCATTTAACTAAATATTTTATGAGATACTCTTCAATCTTAAAATTGACATTTTATTTATGAAATATTCAGGTTAAAGTTTTTTAATGCAAGTGTAACACCAATTATCCGGTCCCGTAAGACTAGATAATAAGAGTCACAATTCTGTACTAGATGCACGAAGCCACTACATAAATCTTAAATTAAAACTTTACTACAACATTATATCTTAATATCCATAAATTTAAGAGTCGTTAAAATATGACTTAGAAAATTTCTCGAAAAATACTGGGGTATGACAGTAAGAGAGTTTCTCATTTGTTATAAACTAGATGAAGAGCTGCGCATTGCACAAATATTTTGTTGTCAAATTATATATTATATTTTTTTATAAAATATTTAATAATGCAAAGAATTTTAAATTGAAATATATGAAGCCATGATATTTAATTAGATTCAAGAGAATCAGCAAAATTTTTGAGTAATAACATAAAACATTATATTATTTTTTTTCCGATAAAATGGAAGGCAAAGGCCCAAAGAACAAAAGAAACTAGCTAAACCGCAGGGACCACACGCGGCCACCTCACATTCACCTTATCCCACGCTAACACTTCAAACAAACCAACCGGAGGAGAGTGGAGAACATGGCAACCTCTGTCACTAGCCACAGCTAAGCTAGCCATGAGGTCAGCAGCTCGATTTGCCTCACGATAGCAGTGGCAAAGCCTAACCTGCCAATCCCTCGCTAACAAATCCTGAATTGTTAGCAATAAATTCCGAAACTTTTTGGAACTTGCACATCCAGCTTCCACCATATTTAGGACCATTAGAGAGTCTAATTCAACTACAAGGGCTCGAAAACCCAGCGTCCAGGCCGTTTCCAAACCATGAAGATGCTCTGCTTCCATAGAAGTGCACCATGGCAATTTGAACATAAACCCCCCAGCCCAATTCCCCACAGGATCACAAAAAAGGCCGCCGCCACCACCACAACCTGGATTTCCTTTAGAGGCTCCATCTGTATTAAGCTTAATCCAACCTGTCATAGGAGGAGTCCATCCCACAGAAATGACAGTTCTACTAACATTAGAATGGGAAAAGGCAACAGAATTCCACGCAGCACACAAACAACAGAGCTGGCTTTTCAAAAGAGAGCAGCTTCTTTCCACCAACAAACCACTCATCACAAAAAAACCACAGCATTCCTCCATTTCCAGATGAACCAAAGGCCCATAGCCAGCAATTGGCTAGGAGAAGCTGCGACATCTATATCTCGAGGCACCCAAATCTTTACAACGCAAGAACCACTCTGAAACTGGCCACATGAGAAAAACGTTAATAGAATCCTCAGTCAATATATTAAACCAGACCTGCATAGCATAAAAACAGTCTCTCAAGACATGCTTAACAGTTTCAACAGCAACACCACCAATACCACAGCTAGGCTCCACAGTGAAACGTCGGCGGCAGCGCTTTGAATTGGTCATAGTCCGCTTGTGAACAACTAGCCAGGCAAAGCAACGAACTCTTTGGGGCACATTTAGTTTCCAAATATTCTCCCAACATTTAGACACAGTGGTACTAGATATCCTAGTTGCAATATTACAAGCAGATTTAACAGTGAAGTTACCCGTAGGAGATTTCGACCACATGAAGCCATCCATATTATGAATATCATTCACCAAAACAATTCCTTCCAATTGTGCACAAATATCACCAGGCAAAAGAAGGCCAAGAGTATCCCAATCCCACGAACCATTAACCCAATAAAAGGAGACAGACCGGGTTAGATCATAATCAGAAATATTAGAGCTAGCAAGGAATTGCAGAGCAATAGTCCCCAACCACACTAGAACAAATGCCTCTCCAAATATGGGAACAATTATTACGAGAGACCAACATATCCATTCCCGAACGCTCCCTGGTATACTTAGCTCTAAGAATGGTTGCCCGAAGACCAGAGTCACCCGTTAAGAGACGCCATCCAAGTTTTGCCAAAAAAGTCGTGTTCATCACACGAGCAGACCGAAGACCCAATCCACTATGGACAACAGGACGGGTCACTTGTTCCCAATTGACCAAATGGATTTGCCGATACCCCATCCTGTCACCCCATAAATTGGCGAATTTTTTTTATCAAACTCATCACAAACTGCCCCGAAGGAGGTACATGACCTGCATAACATGATTAGGAAGCGCAGCTAAAACAGATTTGGCCAACGTTAGGCGCCCGGTAAAGGACAGAAGAGGAGATTTCCAGCCTACTAGATGCTTATCAACTTTCCCAAACAACTCAGAGAATAACGACTTACTAATACGACCATGAACAATGGGAACCCCAAGATACACACCCAAATTATCTGTTCTAACCATACCAGCTCTTTCGCAAATCTGGTTACAAAGACAACGATCAATCCCCTCCGAAAAGAAGATTTTAGACTTTTGGGGGTTGACCTCTTGACCAGAAAGAGCCCCAAATAGGTCCAAGCACCAAAGAGAAGAAGGTAGTCTGCAAAAAATAGGTGAGACAGTGCTGCACCCCTTCTAGAAAAGACAAAAGGATTCCACCCCCCTTCCGAAACAGTTTGATCAATTAGGTGGCCGAGTCTCTCTATTGCCAACACAGATAGGTAAGGGGAAATTAGGTCCCCCTGCCTAACTCCCTGAGAAGGACAGAAAGGAGCTGAAGGAGTCCCATCCCATAGAACCCGCATACATGGAGACATTCATCAATAACTTCACCCAGGCCTCCGTAAAACCCACCAGGCAAAGAGAATCCAAAATGAAGGTCCACCGTAATCAATGATAAGCCTTCTCTAAGTCAATCTTCAGAATCATATACCCCATATGAGATCGATGTTGCCGAATAGAATGGACTGCTTCTTGAAGAATAACAACATTATCGTGTAAGAGCCTCCCCGGAATAAAACTCGTTTGATTAGGAGATATCAACAAAGGCAAGACTCCCTTCATACGATTTACCAACACCTTCCTGATGAGTTTAAAAGATACATTACAAAGGCTTATAGGCCGAAACTGGCTAATAAACTCAGGGGATTCAACCTTGGGAATAAGGGTCACAAGGATGTCCCCAACACCAGCAAGTAGGGGAGCGCCATTGAGAACATCCATCACTAACTCTGATAAGGAAGCACCAACAACCACCCAATTCTTCTGATAAAAGACAGCATGGAAGCTGTCCGACCCTGGGGCTTTATAAGGATCCATTTCAAAGAGGACGGCTTTAACATCATCAACAGTAAAAGTAATCGTACCCGCGGACAGTGCAGGATACTGATTTAGGATAGAAAAATCAACACTCCCAGGCGAATCTTCATTATATAGATTCTGGTAGAAATTTCGAGCTAAATCTTGCAACATACGAGGATCCCAACACCAATACCCATCATCTAGCTTCAAACACATAACCCGCTTAGAAGAACCTCTAATAACAACATTAGCATGAAAAAATCCAGTATTGCCATCCCCTTCACGAGACTTTTGAAACCATAAAACCTCCTCCTGGTTCAAACACACTTCCAATTCACCACTCAATTTACCCTCCAACACAGCTAGATCCAAATGAAAAGACTGGGATAGTCTCTGCTGGACCCCCTTTAACCGAGCAAGAAGCCTCTCCTTCCTGACATTAATATTACCAAACATAGCTTTTTTTTCCACTCATCAAATTTATCAGCCATAGCCTGCAAATTCTCCGAAAACAAACCATCCTGAGCCCATTGTGTCCTTACAAAATTAAAAAAGTCAAGAAGAGACATCCAAGTAGCCTGAAACCGGAACCCATAAGCTGAATGCCTGAGACTAGGTTCAAAGAGTCGAATAAGCAAGGGTTAATGGTCCAAGGTTAGTCGTTCCAAATGGCAAACCACAGCATTTGGAAATAGAGAACGCCATTGGAAGTTGCAAATAGCTCGATCAAGCCGAGCAGCTTGAAAATGAGAACCATCTTTGCGCCACCGAGTAAACCTGGACCCTTGAAAACCCAGGTCAAACAACCCAAGCTGGTTCATCCAATCTCAGAATTTGGCACACCGGTGAAACACATGGCTCCCAGTAGATGACGTTTCCATGGGACTGGCTACCTGATGTGGAGCAACTTGCGATTCGATATACGGAAGACTTGGACCGCTGCAAGTCTAAGAAGAAGGGACATGCCCTTGTCCATGACACCATGCCTGTGCTTCTCTCTGGAGCCCAGAAAAAAACACACGCTCGAGACTAAGAAGAAGGGACACGC